GTCATACCCCACTGTTGGAGCCCAGCTGCCTGTTTTCTTTTGCAGGGGATCTGGGCACCTGTGCCTTGAGGAGATGCTGCCAGGAGCATGGGACTCTGACAGTCCTTTGTATAAAGGACTAAAGGGAGCTGCCCTTTTGACCCTGCTCTAAGCTCTGCCTTGCCAAGCCCACAGTGTGTACCCAAAAGCTGTCAAGTGGCCGAGACAGCTGTAGTTTCTGGAGAGTATGACGTTGTGTTTTCTTACTGTGAAAGGAATTACCTTCTCTTAGAGGGTAGGAAGAATGTGGTGTGTGTGTGTTCTCATAAAGCAACCGGACATTATAGGAGCCCAAGTCATCCATAAAAACGATCCTTGGGCTGTGTAAAAACGAAGTGGCTTTTCAGTATCCTCTTTCACACTTGCTGCTTCGGGAGACTATGCAATGATGGGAAGGTGACTGCCCCTTTATTTCATTCAGTGCCATGGTCCCTGTTGTTGTAGTAATTTATTTGTTTAGTTCATTTTTTTTTTCTTAATGATTAAGGGGAAGAGTCATTCCTCACACTGCTTTCAAGCTGGACTGAGCCAGTCTCATTCTGGGAAAGAAATGCCATGTCCAGAACTCAGCAGCTCCAGTCAAAAGAAACTGATTTTTAGACAGTTTTTTCTTGGCCAGAAAGCAGTGCTTGAATACTTGAAACTGTGTGCTCTGTTCTACTTAATGTTCTGTCAGAATGTTCTTTTGTAGGCAATATGTCATGATGTAATCATCTATCTCCTTGTCTGTTTCCAAGTTACACTGTGAAGTCTGCCACCCTTTTGAGGTGGTCATCAAAGACACAGATTCCCTGTTGTTTAACCAAGTGTCCCAAAGCATGGACCTGAAGTTATATCATTATTTTTTATTCTAAAAAGCTATGCAGCTTATATTCTGAAAACTATTAAAACATATACCACTGTTTATGTAATTTGTGACTATTCTTAATGGAAGATGACAGGATTGTAAAAGGTACGCTAGGGGACTGATCTCTGCTGGATCAGTCAGCTGTTACTAGTTTATGCTGTGCTAACATGACCTTGCAACTTCAATGTTGCTTTTACTACAAGGGTTGATTTATCATTTGCATTTATGTCCATGGTAGGCTGAGCTATAATATACTGGCTTTGCAGCAGAATGAAAAGGGTGAGTTGGTGGAGCCTTGTAAGGAGGCTTCTAAAAATTCTCCTCCATAAATGATGTTGCATCCATTCACATTTCATTGGCTAAAGCTCTCTACAGGGCAGGCAGTTTACTCATCCAGTAGAGTTGAGTCTGGGAGGGAAGGACACCAATATTATGACAGTGCTGCAATCTATTATATCTGCCTTTGGAAGCTCCATCTTAGACCTCCCAAACTGGTGTGGCCAGAGTGATTCTCTTGGCCCTGGGTTAGCTTATGAGATCACGGACAGTAGGAATTCCAGGAAGCAGGAACCCAGCAGTGCCATTTTCAACTTGTGCTGCCAACAGGGCTTGCAGGAGTGGTGATACATTAATCTGCCATGTTGATAGTTGACATTTGTGCCATCCTGCCCATCCCCCTGGCCTTGGCCAAGTAGGTAACTTCTGATATTTAAGCAATGGACAGCAGAACACAAAAGTCCTCCACGCTGTCTTAAAAATCTCACTTTGGGGCTGGGTGCGGTGGCTCACGCCTATAATCCCACTACTTTGGGAGGCCGAGGTGGGTGGATCATTTGAGGTTAGGAGTTTGAGACCAGCCTGGCCAATATGGTGGAAACCCCATCTCTACTAGAAATACAAAAAATTAGCTGGGCATGGTGACGTGCACCTGTAATCCCCAGCTACTAGGGAGGCTGAGGCAGGAGAACTGCTTGAACCAGGAGGCGGAGGTTGCAGTGAACTGAGATTGTGCCACTGCACTCCAGCCTGGGCAACAGAGGAAGACAACAACAACAACAATAAAATCTCACTTTGGACAACTTGACCACTCCCGTGGCCTCCAGACTGAAGCAAAAGGACTGTAAAATTCTCCATTCAAGGGTCCAGGAAGTGTACTCTTTGGTATTCTCAATTATATTCAGACATCTGCTGGGGCTGTACTTAGGCAACAGACTCTTCAAATGCATTACATTCAAAATGTGACTCTGTTCTCTAATTCACCTATCCCAAACCCATTCCTTCAACATTCCCCATCTGGGATGACCACTCCAACAGCTGCCCTGTTTACAAACTTGGGACTTAACCTATACATCTGCTTTGCTTCCTTCTCCATCTCTATCTATACCCCAATCAATCATCTTGTCCAGTCAGGCTTCTGGACATCCTATCCTATCCCATCCCTCCCCCTCCCACCACTCCACTGTGACTGGGGCTCTTTTCATCTCTAGCAGGGACTACTTCAATGGTATCCTGACCAGTAACTTCTCTTTGCTTGCTTCACTTCATTGCTATTCACAACATCCAAGATCTTTCTAAAAGTTCTCTAGCTGAAAATCCCTTCAAAGCTCTCCCTTGTGAAGAGGGTAATATTCAAGCTGCTTCATGTGACCTATGAGGCTCTTGCTTGACTCTCCTGTCCCTTCTCTCCCAGCATCCCTGCCAGTGTTTCCATGTATTGTCTGGAATCCTCTTAGTGATTCTGCGTTTCTGCCAAATACCTATCTCAGACAAGCCCTCCAGGAAGAATAATTTCCCACAGTATGAACCGCAACATTATTTGTTAGCACTATATTGAACTTAGAGGTTTTTCTGTCCAAAGCACGAGTCTTTGAGCAAGGAGCGTATATGACTTATAACATTACCAGTGTCTAGCATGAGTGAGTTTTTTTTTTTTTTTTTTTTGAAACAGAGCTTTGCTCTTGTTGCCCAGGCTGGAGTGCAATGGTGTAATCTCAGCTCATTGCAACCCCCATCTCCCGGGTTCAAGCGATTCTCCTGCCTCAGCCTCCCAAGTAGCTGGGACCACAGGCGTGAGCCACCAGTCCCGGCTAATTTTTTGTATTTTAGTAGAGACAAGGTTTCACCATGTTGGTCAGGCTGGTCTCGAACTCTTGACCTCAGGTGATCCACCCACCTTGGTATCCCAAAGTGTTGGGATTATAGGCGTGAGTCACCACGCCCGGTCTGAGTGTTTCTTGATGGGAAGAAGAAATAATGTAAAAGTGTCTTCTCACATATTAATGAATAGATTCAACACTATTTCAAAATTCCAATCAAGATCACAAGATGATTTGGAGGGAAATGATACAAAAGGTTATGGAGAACAGTACTAATGAATTTTTTACCAGAAACTAAAGTCCTGCCAAATAATAACATACATATAAAACAAAAATTAAAAACCCTAAGATGAAACAATTCTGGACAGATTACTCAGACACTAAAAAATTTATCAGAGTCAAAAAGGCATCCATTACATAAAGCCCCGAAAAAGGAATAAGTTATGTAATAAATGGTATTGCTACAGCTTAACATCTAGAAAAGAACGTAGATCCACATGATGCTATAAACCAAAGTAAATTCTAGATAGAGTCAATATTTTTAAAAAATGAAAGATTTTAAAAAATGAATTACAAAGGTCTGAATGGGAAATGAAAAGCCTCAAAAGGCACAAAAATACATGATTGCATAAAGTTTATGTATGTATGTATAAATGACAAAAACAAAATATAGAGCCCATATAAAAGAAAAGTCCTCCTCATAAACGGACCCAAGTCATGAACAATTCACAAAATCAGTATAATTTAAAAAGGCAAGGGGTATTTAACTTCACTCCTTTTAAAAAGTTAGTTAACTATTACAGCTAATGTATTAGACAAAATTTGATATATATATTATTGATAAGATGGTCATGCAGTTAGCATCATTCATACAATGCCTGGTAAAGTTCAAAAGAACCAATGATTAGAGTTCTTACATGTGCCAGGACCTGTTCTCAGTACATTAGAGATACACAACTGAGGTAGATGCTGTATTTCATTTTACAGGGGAGGTAACAGGCCAGGAGAGGGGAAATAGCCAGAACATAGCTAGGAATAGGGAGCCCCAGGATGCCAACAGGCGAGGCAGGCAAGTCCCCAGTAAACTAGAAATTGAATGAAATTTTTGGTTTTATTTTAATTCGATACAACAATACTTGGAAAATGAATATAGCAAAGATTCGCTAACTCCACTTCTAGTGATTTAACCTGAAGGTGTGTGGTGTGTATTGTGGGAAAGATAAAACAGCTATGAGGAAATAAAAGCAAAAGCCTGAGGCTTAGGGATGTTAGGCTCCTCGTTATTAGTGATGAAAGTGCTTAAGACTGCAGTGGAGCAGCCATTCAGCAGCTTTGTTTCAAAGGATCATGAAGACCACCGCTCCCGGAAAACGCTTGCGCTACAAAAGAACAGGACGAAAACGAGAGAGAAAAAACCAACACAAATTGTAAAAGAAATCAACACTTTCAATTTTAGTATTTTCAACTATACACATTTTTAAAGGCTCGAAAGAACATTCAAATACGTTTTCACTTCTTTCCCCCAAAAAAACCTTAACTTTTTTTTTTTTTTTCCCCCGAGACAGGGTCTCGCTCTCGCCCAGGCTGGAGTGCAGTGGTGCGATCTCGGCTCACTGCAACCTCCACTTCCCGGGTTCAAGCGATTCTCCCGCCTCAGCATCCCGGGGAGCTGGGATTACAGGCACCTTACAGGCCTCTCAAAGGTCTTGGGACTGCAGGCAAGAGCCACCGCGCGGCCTCCTTCACTTTCATTTGAACTCTCTTTACCAAGAACTGTGCTAAGTGTCCTACCTTTCTTCTTTCGTTATCGCAACGACCCTATGGTGCACTGCTATCCTATTTTACCGACGAGAAAACCGGCCAGCGCAGCCCATAACCGGCTCCTAACCCTAGGGCTCAGTCCCGAAGTCTCGCGCTCAGTCAGAGCGCAACCCCGGGCCGTCTCCTAGGAAACCGGGCTCGCCACACCCCCTTGGTCGGACTCTACTTCCGCTTCTGCGCGCTGAGGCTCCGGCGGACCTCTGGCTGACATGGCTGCTTCCCGCTTACCCCCAGCGACGCTAACGTTAAAGCAGGTACCGGCGGTTCTCTGCCTTCCAGAGCAGCTTACCTGGGTCTGAGCTTCTGGATTCTCCATCTCTCCCTCCACCCAACGGGGCGGGTTCCGGGGTCCTGACGCGCCGTGCGCGCCCTCTGAGATTGGCCCGATGCCTGCGGGGCGGTGCTTCGCTTCGCGGGGCCTGACGGGAGGCACGGGCGGCTTGCTTGGTTTGGTGCGGTCGCGTGAGACGCGTCAGGTGCTTGATTTCCCGGAGTCCCGGTGCATCAGCTGCTCAGTGCCCACGGTAAAGACTACTCTCTATTGCACTGAGCTGTGGCAAACGGCAAATGAGATTACCAAAGATTTGAACAACTGTTAATTTAGAAAACGTGCTGTCGTTGTAATAACAACTTCTAGGAGACTGGCAGCCCTTTTCAGCCCGGTAGTCAGCTGATTTTTTAATGGTTCTTAGATTTGACAGAGCAGTAAGCAGAAAGATCAGATGAACCTCGTGATGCTTTCTTTAAAACATCTTTTTGAGACAGGGCCTCACTCTCGTGCAGGCTGAGTGCAGTGGCACAATGAGGGCTTACCTCAGCTTAGACCTCCTAGGCTCAAGTGATCCTCCCATCTCGGCCTCGAAACTGCTGGGATTACAGGCCTGAGCCACTGCACCTGGCGGAAAAAGAAAAAAGTTGTTTTTCTTTGCCTTTTTCAAAATTGACCAACGAGGACTCTGGTTGCAGCTCGGTTTGCTGAAGTAGAACTTTTCAGGCTGGCGATTGTGCAGAAGTAATTGCTATTGCTCCTCCCTTTTACAGTTCATAAGAAGGCAACAAGTTCTTCTCCTCTACAGAAGGATTTTGCAAACAATTCGGCAAGTTCCAAATGATTCTGATCGCAAATACCTGAAGGATTGGGCAAGGGAAGAATTCAAAAGAAACAAAAGTGCCACCGAAGAGGTGAGAACAAAATCATGGCGAGGACAGATCCTAACCCTTTTTATTGATCAGTGAATTTTTTTTTTTTAAGTTTAGCAGATATCTTGGAATATAGTGCCACTGAGTTGGTATATCTTGATCATTGCTTGTAATGTTACCGATTTTAAATGATGTTTTAAAATTTAATATTGCTGTATCTACACTCTTCAGCATTATCACGACTTTTATGTTGTACGTTTTATATGTATGGATGTGGAAATCTTTCATCTTTTCTAAAAGACAGCAGTTCAAATACGTAGTATTGGTTGTTGATTTTAACAAATAAAACGGTATAGCTATACCTTGTTTAACCAGGTAAAACAATAACCAGATTTCACTTTATTCTACAGGATACAATCCGGATGATGATTACTCAAGGCAATATGCAGCTCAAGGAGTTAGAAAAATCACTTGCTTTAGCAAAATCTTAACTATAGCATTATTCTGAAGGATTTTCAAAGTCTCCATGTGTTTCGTTGCATTTAGGATTAACAATGGACAACACAAAGCCCAGTCTTTCTATTTGTATGTACAGTATTTGGTGATAGACAGCAAAGGAAAACACATCAAAACAGTTGCCTTAACACTGAAAAACATACCCTGCATTTTGAAAATGTTTATGGATGTCTCAGCAGTTTTTAAAAGAAGAAAAAACCGGCCGGGCGCGGTGGCTCAAGCCTGTAATCCCAGCACTTTGGGAGACCGAGATGGGCGGATCACAAGGTCAGGAGATCGAGACCATCCTGGCTAACCTGGTGAAACCCCATCTCTACTAAAAAAAAAAGTACAAAACACTAGCCGGGCGAGGTGGCGGGTGCCTGTAGTCCCAGCTACT